CCTCTAGTAATATATTTACTGAGAAAAATGTTGACGTGTTCAAGACTTATTTTACCCGCTGTATTTCTGTATTTATTACAGATTTAGTCAGTCGTACACTTAGTTCTTATCAGTGTTTAAAAGATGACGTGTTAAAACTCTGTTTAGTCAAAGTTAAACATGAAAAATCAAAGTTAACTACAACTGGCCCTTCAGGGCCACCATAACGCTCATGTGGCCCTCAGTGAAAATGAGTTTGACCCCCCTGTCATAGATGGTCAGCATAAAGAGGCTTTTAAAGACAATAAAGAGAAGAGTTTGAGCATAAATCCTGACAAAAAGCAAGGCTCGGTGAGTCTTACCCCACTCAGCTGTCCCCCGTGGACAGGTGAGCTCTGAGTCAGGTGACATGTCTTCACTGAGGACACTGAGTGAGGAGAGTCGGTGACGTCCTCTGTCTTTATCTGAGAGACACAGAAAACAAACCACCCGTTTTACAGAGCATGCAGATCCTCTGCTCCTGGGCCAGTTTTGTGGCTCGACATGATACAAAGAGTGATAGATGCTCAGTCTGGCCTGGAGCAAACCAGTATGCAAATAAACCTCAACTCCCCCTCTAACCCTCACTAACCCCTGAAAGCCACGGCACTTCCTCAAAGAACCGAAAGAGAATAAAAAAACTGATGAAATGTTCTGATGCCTGCAAACTGTGACTGATTTTAATTTATAATAYCTGAGAGTTCATTTAAAAAAACACTAAAACCACCAAATTTACTGATTCCATAAACAACATGGAGCTTTTCACTTCTTTAGATACATTTATCTATTATTAAAACTGTGTTTTTTTAATGATTAGTTGATGTACATCTKTAGAGTTTTATTAGCTTGAGATAAAAGCTAAAGATTCACAAAACTTTAAAACAAACTAAAACCAACTAAAAGTCAGCTTTTATCCGCAGTTTGATGCTTTTTAAATTCATTCAAATCACACAAAACAACTGAACTGCTGAAGCTGCAACACAAAGGAATTAAAATCATTTTTGACGGCAAATCCCTTGATAGAGCAGAGAAAATCTGCAATATAATATATATTTTTAAAAAATGGAATTTTAAGTTTGTGAGAAAATTTTCTTTTTTAATTTTTGTTTTGCAGAATTGAATGATTTGAATCTGTTTTATGGTAATTTGACATACAGTATTCAGCAACATTTTGGAAACGCCTGGTAAATATAAACTAAATATAAAAGGACAAGTTTTGATTGCTCAGTAACAGAGTTTGTTTTTATGCTGATGACGTTCTACTGATCCTAAACAGCTCAGGGAAATGAAAAGTGAACACCGAGCAAAAGAGAATAAAACTGACCAAAGGGGTGTCTGTGTGTGTCCACCAATGGTTTTATGGAGGGGCATTGCTCCCCCAACCCCCTCCTCAGTGACGCCCCTGAACTAAATTTGAAGCACTTTTTAGGGGGAATAAATAATTAAATAAACAAATAAGCACATTTTCCTGGATAACTTTGTCAACTTTACAGATTTGTATTTACTTTCTTTTACTGTCTTGTAGTTTCTCGATGCAAATCATAAAAAAATTTAGTAGAACGTTAACATTAGACTTTATTTGATAAACATTTATTTTAACTGTAAAATAAAGACTGTAAAAATACTGTAGGCTGTTTAGTTTTGTAAATTATTAAAAATATTTTTTAACATGGACAGAGCCATTTTATTTGCACACAAAGCATTCTGGGTAAATGA